TTCATTTAACTTATTAAATTGGAGCTCGGAGGGAAAAGGTCTTTGAGCCCACTTCTCTTTATAAAGGTTCTTATAGAAAGAAGTAGCTACAGATTTAACTTCAGAAYTAGACTCAYCACACCTGTCCTCYCACACCAGCTTGCTGATTGAAGAGAACCTAGCACGAGCATTTGCCATTTTGTGAAAGAACTTTGTATTTTTATCCCCCTCTTTAAGCCAAGTGGATTTAGCTCTTTGTCTCCACTTCCTCTCTTCCTCATATCTGATTTGCACGAGCATTTGCCATCTTATCATATCTGATTTTTGCAATTGACCTCTTAAGTCTCAGATCTTCAGACAAGGGACCCGCCTCTTYAGCTCTRTCAATCTYWAYARTGGTGCTCAACAAAGCCTTCTTATCAGTAACCCACTTCATATTCTTCTCCTTACTCCAAATTTTTAGTTTACCCTTGACAGCCTTTAATTTTGATGCCATAACRAAAGAACTAGAGCCCTCCACTTGCAACTCATTCCACACAGAGCTGATTAAGGGGATAAGATTTTCCTCCTCAAACCAAGCATTTTCAAACTTAAACGGGGATTTGACTTTCTCATGGAGACCATAAACAAGCTGAATAGGGCTATGGTCGGACATTGGTCTAGGAAGGGTAAGCTGTCTGAAATCAGGAAAGAATTCATCCCAGTTTGAAGAAACCAAGAATCTGTCCAGCATAACCAGGGTCGGGACAGATTGGTTATTAGTCCAAGTGAATCTATTACCCTGAATTGGGATGTCCATTAATTCCATACTGTTTATGAAGTCAGCAAACATGTTCATCAAACCAATTCTTCTACCCCCGGTATTCTTCTCATCCACCGAAATAGTTGCATTAAAATCACCCCCAATTACCCAAGGACAGTTCTGAGGGTCTCTAAAATCTGATAATTCCGCCCAAAAAGCCACCCGAAAGTTAGCATCAACAGGACCATAAACGTTTGTGACTTGAATAAGTTTTCCATCTTGTAGTTTCAGTCTCAGAGTGACTGAGACTTGATCATTTTAGCAATTTGGAGAAAAAAAAAAGTGTCTTAGAGTCACAGCACCATATGCTGCAACCATTCAGCAGTGTCTACATTGTCAATGGAGGCACAATACAATACCAGCCTTAGAATTGGATGCTCCACTAACACAAACATAATGCAACATTTTTTATCATCAACCAATCAAGCAACTTTTGATAACTTCATTGATCTAAACAAGATAAGATACATGTACAGAAACAACTAAACAGAGACCAGCCAGTGACTCCAAACAAATATTATACCCAAAGGAAATGAGAACCCTCTAGCAAGAGAAGCTGCTAGAGAGTTAGTTGACTGCAGATCTTAATATCTGTCTAAACTAAGAACTCATGGTAGATGCCAAAGACCTCACTTCCCTATGCAATGAATATAAGCCCAATGTATAGAATACAAATTTCTATTTAAGTGCTGCACTATTGGACCTTGACTAACCACTGGCAAATCTCTATATTGTGTCAACAAAAATATATCAATGGCATCCTGATCTTAACCACTAAAAGTTGATACTTGAAGAAATTTGCAATTATGATGAAAAAAATTGATACTTCAAAGAAACACTTTAAAGCATGATGCCATCATACAGATTGGGCAATCAATAAAGATCCATGTTCTAGAGCGTGGAATTTCTTTATCTGTAACAAAATCATATGAATAATCAAAGGATATTAAGAATCAGATGGTTAACCAACAGAAGGCATGACATAAAATCATATTGGTTTGGAACAACTAGTCATAGTATGGGGTTAGGAGGTTGCAGAGCCTCGGATAATAAGGATGCTGGTTTGATCTTACTATTCTTTGATCTTTTTTTAAATAAAACAGAAGCTATCTTAAAAAAAAATCAATGAGAAACTAAATTGAAAATTAAAGGGGAAACTAGCTATATGCAATAATTTGGAGATTTTCTTTTGATGCTATCAATAAAAAAATAGGTAAAAAAAATCCACTTTCAGTTGGACCTTCGCACATGACACAAAACACAACCCCTCCCTTGAATACACACTTTGGTGGAAAAGACTAAATGAACCATAATCAGCTTAATAAGAACTTTCCATTCTCTAAACTTTTGACAGGGTACCCATGTTCAGTCAGTTGATGACATGCTGACAAACTTATCAGAGAAATGAACTAAATGGCACTCTTGTTTTCATTTATTACCTTAGGAAAAAAATCTTCCAAATTATGAGAAAACTATGCTGATGTGTCAGCCCTTCAAGGTTTTTTGGTGTACATAATCTTCCAAATTATGTACATGGAGATTTCCATGATGCTCCAAAACTAGAATTTGTCAAATAATTTGGCATTTCAACTAGGGAAGAAGAAGCACTAGTTTATACTTTATAAATACAATAGTTAATTTAAAAAACACTTTGATAACAAATGAAGCAGATAAGAAGTAGAACACATTCTACAATTTAAAGATAATAATTGGTACATTAGCACAAACACAAAAAAAAGTTAGAAATATCAAAAAATATACAAGAGCACCTTTAGAGCTGTCTGCTTTCGTAGAATATCATTTGACTTGAACATGACTGCAGCAATCCAGATTGTGACAAAGAAACCTGTAGGTCCACACAAAGAGGGAAAAATCAGGAAGGCCGAAAAGAACAACATTCTTTATGGTTAAATGTGAAATGGAAGTGGAAAGCACATACACTCATCACCATGGCCACTTGTTTTGCAACCATACCATTGAAAATTCACACGGTTATGTTTATAGAATTGAAAAGTAACATTCTAAAACTCTACGGATGGCAACACAAATGACTAGAGAAATTGAAGCAAAAGCCTCCCTTCCACCCCGGGGATCATCAGGACCACTTGATTTGCAAGCATACCCATTGAAAACCCACATGCTTATGTTTCACTTACTGATGTAGGTTTTATCTTGGAACATGAAAATAGGTAAAGCCTAAGTATAGTCGTGGTGGAGCAACCAAATCCAGTAGCATGACAAAATGTTAGAATTTACTAAAACTGTAGGAACTAATTCTTCTTCTAGGCTCAAAACTAACTCTAAGAATTGATTCTTAAAGCAACAAAATCCAGTTTCAAAAAAAAAAAAAAAAAATTGTTTTGGCTCAGAACTCATTCTTCAAATGGTGATTCCCCGGAGCAGAATTGTAACTAAACATAGTCCAAATTGGTAAACAGTTAAAAAGCAAATGATGGCAATGAGGGTGGCATGGAGCAGCTTTTGATTGAAGGGGACTCTAAGACAGTGGTGGACTGGATAAATAATCTGAAAGATGTCACATGGGCTACAAAAATGAGTTAAAGAAATTCAAATGGCCGACAAGGAATATGCCTGTAACAGTACAGTGGGTTGGGAGATCAGCTAATGCATTTGCCGATGTCTTCGCAAAACAAGGGACAAATAGGGAAACATTGTTCTGGGCGCAACTGTAACTTTTGTTTTAATATTCATGTACTCTTTGATGCAGTTTATGTGTTTTCTGTTTCGAGAGGTGGCACCTCGTGCCTCTCTAAGGGGATTTTCATGTAACCAATCTTTGAATTAATGGAATATGATTCTTTATTTATCAAAAAAAAATGAGGGTGGAGTAGTTCTTTTTTTATCAGTAAATGGTCAATTTATTAGGGACTGTTTGGTTATGTTGTTGTTTATTTAATAAACATTTGGTACTTTCTTCATCTTGAAAAACAAGAAAAAACTGTTGAAAAACGTTTTTTTGATGTTTTTTGATAGCTAGGCACCATTAGATGCCATTAGGTCCCACATAATCTGAATAGTAAAAATGCTTGGGTGTTGGGGGAACCATTAAAAAGAAGTATCCCCAACAGATGGCTCTAACACAAACCAAGAAAAATGTTTATTTAATAAACAATTTAACCAAACAGTGTTTCAGGGGAAAGTCTATGTGGCACTGAGTTGGCACCATTTTTCAGATAAACGGCAACAAAACCAAACACCATGTTAATTAATAATAGAATGAGATATATACAAACTGTGCCTTCCACACCTAAGAAAAGGCAAGCATTTCTACCCACTGCTAGTTTCCACTTTCACTTCTAACGACTACAAACTTCCCCCATAGCAAATCATCCCCAATGGAGATGATCTATGTTCACCCCTTTGTGTCCATATGAAGGTTGCCCCATTATCCTCGGACAGCCTTTTTATTTTGCTTGACTATCTTACTACGACTTAGGAGCTCCTTTCCCAAACCTTAGTCCTTCCGATACAAGCATCAATTCTGCCCTAATTCAGTGTTTTAAAAGAGCAAGGCACAAGGCAAGGCGCGCGCCTTTTTAAGCAAGGCACAAAATTACAAAAAAAAAAGCTAAAAAATAAGAAAAAGGTCAGAAAATTCAAAAAATGTCAGAAAAATTTTAAAAAAATACTAAACATAATGTTAATAAAAAATATAAACTTAAATTTTAAAACAAATGTTTTAAAAAACCTGTTATCTAAATTTAAATATATAAATGTAACATGTAAAGCATATTCAAATGAAATTTTAAAAATAAAAGCAAACATATAAAGCATTTTCAAGCATGTAAAACCCACAATCTCTTTTTTTTTCTTAATTGCATTGCTTCAAGTAGCTAATGTGATGTAAAACATATTGCATTCTTGATTCTATGAGTTGCCTTCGTACCACACCCCTCGAGGAAAGCCCGAACAAGTCTATGTTAGGGTCTGAAATTCTTATTTCTCACATAAA